CTATATCTAATCACCTTTGATAGAAATGTTTTGGTCCCAACCGTTGGTATCTAGTCATCCTCACCTACCTTCAGTGGAAATACTGTTAGGCTGATTCAAATAGAATTCTTCTTATGCTTGACATCTAAGTAATTTTCTGTCCAATGACCACTGCCATCCCCACTTACTCCATGGCTATAAATCTTCCCTGTTACTGGTCTATTAGATACCATTTCTATACTGGACCTCTCTTCTCCTATTACAATTGTCCTGAATAAAATTTGTCTTTACCACTTTACTTTCTGACCAGCCATGATTGTCCTCAGTAGTTTTTGTTACTGAGATTTAGCTACAGTTCTAAACTCCATCGGATCTTTGGATGTGATGAGACCTCTCAGTACACAAGACCCATGTATCCAAAGGGATTGCTCATTTGGATTCACTGTGGTGAATCTGACTCCATATATATATATATTTAAAAAAGATATTTGCTATAGGGCACGTGTGCTTGCCGGTGAGACAGAGAGACAGAGGGATAGGAAGTGAGAAATTACCCCCCGGGGGGATGAACACACTGCAGTCTCTTCTCCTCCATTCTCCTCTTGGGATCTTGGGCACACAGACGTGTCTGGCGTGAGTTTAAGCCACTGAGTCTGCTGTGTGAACCATGGTTGACTACATGGGAGTATAGCGACATAGCCATTACAGCAACTGCTGGTCCCTTTAGGGTCTTTTCTTTTTAGTTGGCTACAGGGCATGTGTGCTCACAAGAAATTAAGTTTGTATTTTAACTGCTTATAATAATTTCATTTTCCATTAACTTTTCAAAGTCCCCTCACAATATATACCTATATGTATGTTTTATTTGTCACTTATTATTTATTCATTTTCAAGTAAAATATTTTTTGACAAATAAACTTAAATGGTAAAAGGTTTATTGGATTATACAACCAGAAAGAATGGTTAATTCTAGAGAATAACTTGTTTCTCTATGTTAGCTCAATTACAGTTTAATTTGAGTGTTGACTATGTCCCCAGGCTGATTTCCTTGTATATTTTAAAATTTTTAATTTTTTTATTAAACAGTTTCTGGGACCAGTAGATGGCATGATGGTTACATTATTGGACATCCATATGATTGACCGAGTCTTGAGTCCCAGGCCCAGTGGTTTCAAACTTGCACTGGGTGCGTATGTGTATGTGTCCAGAATCCCAAGGGGAGAAGGAATTACAGCCTGGCCTTCCCCCTGGGATATTACTTTCTGTCTCTCTATCTCTCTCTGTCTCTCTGGCAAGCACATGTGCAGTATAGCAAAATTATTTTTTCCCAAAAAATTTGCTAGAGGGAGAGTTTACTCACTGGAGAGAGAGAGAGAGAGAGAGAGAGAGAGAGATGGAGAATGAGAAAGCATCCCCTCATGGGGGATGGTCACACTATAATCTTCTCCATTTCTCTCTCATCTTGGGATTTGAGGCATACATGCTCAAAATGCACACATTAGGCATGTTTTTTCAAGCCACTGGGTCTAGAATTTGAACCATGTAGTCAGTCAGGTGGAATCCAGTCACCTTAACCACTATACCATCAGCTGACCCTGCTTTCCCTTTTCATTACAAAATTTAAGTAGGCTGTGCTAAATAGATTTTGTATCCATACAACATGACATTCAGAGAGAGAAAAACTCTGTGTGTGTGTGTGTGTGTGTGTATCTCTTTTTAAATAAAGGATTTACCAGAGACTTCCAGAAAAATCTCCTCTTCTACTTCACTAGCTCCAAGTAAGTGAGAAACTTCTCTATCAACAGATGTTTGAGATTTGGTCTTGCTAAGGGTTTGGTGGCATGATGCAGGAGTATATAACAAAGTCATGGCATTACTAGAACATGGAAAGGAAATTTGTGGATACAATTCTGACAACAAAAATGTGCACTAAAAGGTTATCTCTAAAAGAGACAACATCCATTTAATTCAGAGCTTTTTGTGGTCTTTGGAATCCTGAAATTCTTTACTTTCTAATTAATTAATTAATTGTAGTTTACTATAGGGTGCCTGTGTTTGCCTAGGAGAAACAGAGAGACAAAGGGAGAAATCATCTCCCAGGGTAGATGGCCATGTTGCAATCCTTTCTCCTCTGTTCTACTCCTGGGATTTTATGCTTGAATGCACATGTCTGCTGGATAGTTTTCAAGTCCTGGGGTCTGGGACGCAAACCATGTAGTAAGCCATATGAGGTCCAGTCACCTTAATTTCTTTTGTTTGTTTTGGAGAGGTTTTCGCTACAGGGCGCGTGCGCTCGCCAGACAGACAGAGAGAGACATAGAGACAGAAAACGAGAAATCACCCCCCCGGGGGGGATGGTCACGCTACAATCCCTTCTCTTCCATTCTCTTGGGATCTTGGGCATGCACGCACATGCGCCTGGCGTGAGTTTGAAGACACTGGATCCAGGATGTGAACCACGGTCGACTACGTGGGAATCCAGCGACATAGCCATTACGCTAACTGCTGGTTCCCCCCAGTCACCTTAATTTTAATGCAACTGCTTGTCCCCTTTACATTCTTAAAACATATTGAAACCCTAAAGAGCTTTATATATACATATATCAGTTCTTACTGTATTATAAATTACAACTGAGAAATTAAAATTTATTAACTGTTCAATAATAAACTCATTACAAATTAGTTAGTATTACAACTAACTAATTTTATTACAAATATATTGAAGGAGAGACCAGTAGGTGGCATGGCAGCTGGATCCCACATGCTAACCATGGAGAGTCCTGGACTTGCAGGCTTAAAAGATACACCGGGAAGGTGTGCATGCCCAAAATCCCAAGAGAAGTATAGATTGTGGTGTGGTCAACCCTCCTGGGGATGATTTCTCACTTTCTCTGTCTTTCTGTCTCTCTCTCATAGCAAAATTAAAAAGAAAAAAAAAGGAGAAAAAGAAAAAAATTACATATATGGAAAAGTTTACTGAATGCCCAAATATGTCAAGCACTGTTGAGTACTGGCTATAAAATCAGATATTATATGATTGATTTAGGAAGAGGGTAGGCCTTCATTTCATTAGCCAACAGTTACAATGTACTATTTGTTTTTTAAAAATGTTGCTTGAATAGGTGTATCCTTCTCCTTTTTTATAGTATTTTCCATTTTCTCATCACTTAATATATGTATTATTTAAATTATTCTCATTTACTTTCAATCTCCAATCCACTGCCAGATCAGTTTTCTGGAAGATACAATCTCACTGGCAGGAAAAATCTCAATGTTGGATGCCTCTACATAAATTTAGATTTTTTTAGGGTGGCATTTATGTTTCTAGGAAGCCTGATCTACTTCTGTCCTCACACTCTCCAAAGCTGTCCCCAATAGTGCATAGGCTCGTTGGTTTTATTCTATCGTTTGCCACTCTCAATCCCTTCTGCTCGTCCCATGCTCATTTACACAAACATTGATTTTGGTCACGGTAATTCCTGTTTTGCTCAAAATATCAAAATGTTTTAAATCTTTTAAAGCACGGTTTACTTCTGATGCTACTTAACTACATATCACAGGCAATGTGTACTCCATTTTGTGAGCTCCCAAACACGTGGAGAAAAGACAGTATTGATTCTAACTCAAGCTCCTTCCGGCTAACCTGGATGAACTTGGACAAGCTAGTCAGTATTTCAAAGGACAAGGTTTTTGCTAAGGAAAAGCTTAAAAAAAAAGAATGCCTATTTGGTAGGTAGCACATATGAGAAACCTACCTTAGTGCCTAGAAGAAAGTATATTCTCAGTTAATTACTTTTTCTTTCATATTTGAACATCTAGTATATAAAAAATATTTTTAAAATGTTTAGGATTTTCAATATTTTCTGCATTATTTATGCTTGAATAGTGTTTCTGTCTTTTGGTTAATGCTATAAACATATCAATAATTTTAACTGCTATCAGTGCAGGACTTTAAAAAATAATTATTTATTTAATTTTATTTGTTACTATCATTTAATTTGCTACAGGGCATGTGCACTCACCAGAGAGAGACAGAGTGAGAGTGAGAAAAAGAGAAAGGAAAAGTGAAAAAGAAAACTGCCAGGTCTGGGGTGCAAACCGCAGTCGGCCATGTTGGAGTCCAGCACCTTAGCCACCATGCCACATGCTGGCCCAGCAGTGCAGGTTTTTGACAAGTGAGAAGAATAGGATACCAGGTAGGAAAGTGTTTGATTCAAGTATGTATTCAGGAATTTCACTGTCAGAGATGATAAACAAGCAGACTACGAGAAAAAATGAAAACCCATGAGGATTTCATTATGCATAGCATCATTTTAAACTACAGAATATATATATACAGATGTTCTATTTCAGAAAACCTGAGGGTCAAAAAGACTAACACTGAATACAAAAACATTCCTGATTAATGAATACATATTCTACATAAAAACATATTCAAACATGATCTCTTAAAGGGACTCAAGGTTGAGAATCAAATTTAAAAAGGCAGTTTACTTCTCACAGATGGCATTGCTTAAGACAGGATTAGGTTTGAGAACTTGAAATGTGTCTGAATTTCTGATTTTGCTTTAGGATCCCAGTAATTTGCTAATAATGTCAAGTATACACTTCTTATGTGCCGGCTGAGTCCTAATATTTGCTGGAATATAAATTTGTTGAAATTTGAAGTGATTACGTGTTGACACAATTTGTAACCTCATGATTAATTCCTTAGTTCATTCCTAATAAACACTAGAAGCTTAGAATTTGAACATTTTTACAGAACTCTTTTCAAACTTATTTGACCCACATATCATCATGATTTAATAATTTAATTCTTTGTATGCAAAGTCGCATTTGTTTCATTGTCTCACTATCCTTTGATTTAGAAAATTTATCAGTTTGGAATCAGTTTTCCAGAGGATATGAGACTCATTTTAGAATGTTGCAAAATTTTCCCTTTTTCATTATTGTTTTCATAACATTTATTACTTCCTTATTTCTTAGACTATAAATGAAGGGGTTTAATAAAGGAATTACTATAGCGTAAAACACAGCAACGGGAATATCTTTATCTCCTTCATTAACTGAACTTGGTCGAGTGTACATGTAGAGAAGAGAACCATAGAATATTGCAACAGAGAGAAAGTGGGATGCACAAGTTGATAAGGCTTTACCTCTCCCCTCTTTGGATTTCATTGTGAATATTGTGAAAAGGATGAAGAGATAAGAGATTAAGACTATAGTAATAGTCAAGACTAGAACTGACCCTGCCAAGATAAATAATATTAATTCATTGATATAAGGGTCAACACAAGAGAGTCTATACAATGGAAGAACATCACAAAAAAAGTGACTAATTAGATGAGATCCACAGAAAGTTAGTCTAAAGAGAAATCCTACTTCAATTATGGGATGCACATTTCCAACTATATAGGCCCCTGTGATCATCTGAATGCAGAGTTTCTTGGACATCATGGTGTGGTACTGCAGGGGGTTGCAAATGGCCACATAGCGATCATAAGCCATTGCCGCTAGAAGAAAGCAGTCCGTAGTTTCAGCAAGGCAGAGACAGTAAAACTGTACCATACATTCATACAGGGAAATCCTTCTGTCCTGAGAATAGAAGTTCTCCAACATCTTGGGGGTAATGGCACAGGAGCAGCAGGAATCGTTGCCCAGAAAGATATACATTGGCGTGTGAAGACGATGCTCCATATAAATCAATGCGACCAGCCCAAGATTACCCACCATGGTGATCAGATAGATGGCAAAGAAGACCACAAACAGGAGGGTCTTCAACTCTGGGTGACCTGAAAATCCTGTGAGGATAAACTCAGCTACCAAGGATTGGTTGTCCTCGCTCATGCCTACTTTTTCTGTTGAGATAGGAAATATGGAGATATAAGATTCCAACTAAAAATATATAGTTTTCCCATTATATTTTCTTTTTTTAACACATAGAATAATTTCTTCTTCGAACTTTCCCTGCTGTCTCTAGAATACAGACACATTTAATTCTGGGAGATACTTTTTCCACTTTAATTCTCAAAGTGTGACTCTTAGGATTCACAAAAATATTTTTATAATTCTAGGGAATATGTCTAAAATTCAAAAGGTTTACCTTTATATAGTTATGTAAGAATTATATTCAAATCTAGCTAACCCCTATTTGATTCATTGTTTCCAAATAAGTTAATTTTGTACTGAAGTTCCTTCAAATAAATTTAAGTCAACATTACTATACATAGACTGCTTTATGTTTCTCCTATGGAGGAAGCAAGGTTTCTTTGTTCTTGTTGTTGTTAATATATGTGTTTTTGTGAACATAATATAAAATATTGAGTCGTCAAAAAAGTCATGATGCATTTTTACATAGAAAAATATGTCATACCTTTTCCAACCCAACAACCCAATAGTTAAGTTACAGTTCTATTTGAAAATGCCCAACAAAGATGAACTACAGTGACCTGCCTATCGTCAGGCAGTCTTTTTTTCCTTTCTTTTATTTTGTATTTTTTTCTTACATTCGATCATTTTACTTCTTTATAGGGTACAAAATGTAATTTCCACCACATACACATTGTGCATTCATTCAGTCAAAGATATTACCACGCACATTATTATTACCAGATAATTTTCCATTTTTATGTTCATTAAATGATTTTGTTTCTTTTTTCCCCCCTTGATTCCCCCTTTCCCTCCCAGCCCGTACCACCCATTGTCCGTCCTCCAGCACTGTGTCTGCTATCTTCAGTTGCCCTCCACACCTTTGTACCTTCCAGTCTTTTAGTTCTGTCTGAGTGTGGACATTCAGGATCTATTAATTGGGTACATACAATGGGTAAAACAGGGATTTATATCGTAAAGTGAATACATACTTCAGTTATCGTCTCTTATCTGCGGGGCACACATTCTAATTCTCCAGTGAATGGCTGAAATTTCAGATAATATTGAATACTGTATATATGCTATTTTCCCTATGCATGCATACATATGATGAAAGTTTAATTTATAAATTAGGCACAATAAGAGATTCACAGCAACTAATAGTAAAATAGAACAATTATTACATTATACTATAGTAAAAGTATATGAATGTGGTCTTTCTCACAAAATATCGTATTATAGTGAACTCATCATTTCTGTGATTATTTAAGATGATAAAGTCCTTCCATGGTGAGAGGAAGTGAGGTGAATTGCATAGGCGTTGTGAGGTAGCATTCAGCTGCTATTCACCTATTGAGGATATGTCAGAAGAGGACAGCCTGCCTTGAGTGATGCTAGATTATAGAGCCATGAAAAGTCAAGAAAATTTCCCAGATCATGATTAACCATAGGTAGCCAAATGAACCTGTGGAAACCATGGATGAAGGGAGATTATGTACAGGTATGCTAATTTTATGTCATAGGAATTGCATAAAGACTAATAAAGATTGGGGTCAGCAAGTGATGTGGTGGTTAAGGTGCTGGACTACCACATGGCCAACTGCAGTTCGAGTCCCAGACCTGGTGGCTTGCTTTCTCACTTTCACTTTCTCTCTCTCTGGTCAAATTTAAAATTCATAATGATAATAACAAATGGAATTAAATACATATATGATTTTTTTTAAAAAGATTGGTAAAGATTAAAGAGCCTATTCATCTTTGAAGAAAATTACTCTGGAAATCTAAAGAAATATGCCTAAGTTATTCACCTCCCTACTTTATTTTTCCAGTGTCACATCCGTTTGCATAAACACAGACTCTGTCCATGCAATTACCTCTGTTGGTTTCTTTCCTTCTTTTTGTCAGGCTTAATTCTCATGCAATGTTACTTAATAAATTTTTAACTAAATGTTCTAGACTGCATAAACCTCTATTTTCTAAATCTTGATTATGTCACATGTATCAACACAACCTAGGATTTCTTATATACAACTTGCTTTTATTTTTCAATGGCATCTGTTGAATTTTCTTAAATGTTGATGTGAGCTGTGACGTATACGTCTGAAATTCTAGGAGGAAAAGATGGTAATAATTTTCATCCTTTGCCCAGGTTGATAACCTGGGCTAGTTTTTTTTTTTTTTCCCCAGTATTCTAACAATGATTATTAGTGATTTCTGGTTCTGCTGAGAGTGTTAACTTTATTTTATTTTTTAAGAGATTTTTGCTATAGAGTGTGTGCACTCACTGGGGAGACAGAAAGATAGAGAAATAGAAATCACTCTCCTATGGGGGGTGGCCACACCCACAGTCCCTTCTTCTCCATTCTCCTTTTGGGATTTTGGGCATGCATGCACATGTTCTAGGGGTGATTTTAAGCTGCAGGGTCTGGGACTTGAACCGCAGTCTACTACATGGGGGTCCAGCAACATAACCATTAAGCCATCAGCAGGTTCTGAAACTGTTAACTTTAAACAACCCTGCAAAGGAGGGCTAGCATGAATCATGGTGGTTAGGGTGACTAGATCCTACATGACTAACTGGGTGGTTCAAGTCCTGGAGCAGCAGCTTGAAAAAGATACCGAGTATAAGTCTGTGTATACCCAAAATCCCTGGAGGAGAAGAGATTGTGGTGTGGTCATCCACCCTAGTGCTTTCTTACTTTCATTCTCTTTCTCTGTCTTTGTCTCTGGTAAGCACAAGTGCTCTATAGCAAAACTTAAAAAAAAAAAAAGATAAAAATGTCTACAAAGAAAAATTTCAAAATCATCACTTAAATACATTTAAATGTCTTTTTTATCCTGAATTGACTCTTTTCTACTATTTTTATGTTTTTCTACTTTATTTTCTGCCACAGTAGATTAAAAGCTAATGAAGAAAATCAGCCTTTACATCTTATTGTTATTTTTATTTATACTTTAAATTTATTTATCTTACATTAATTTACTATATGTCTGACATTTAGAAAATAAGAAGCCATTCTGAATCTTAATAAAATTTTTGAGTTTAAATTTTGTTTTGCTTTTAAAAGGTATTGACTCTTATTCCTTAAATATTCCTTAGAATATATTACCTTACAGATCTTATCATATAATTCTATGATCAAAGTAGGTATATTTTTCTATAGTCGAAACATCAAAAGAAAGGCACTGTCTGAAATTTTATTATTTTTTTATTGGCATTTTCCCATTTGTTTCTTCTATGTGTGAGAGAAGTAGAAGCAGAGGGTCAAGAACTGCCAACTAGCTTCTTATACCAAAATCTACCCTATCCTCATTCAACCCAGATCATAGACCCACACATACATATCACGCTCAAGAAAGTTCGAGATTTGAACCCAGGACCTTTCCTACTATGGGTTCAGTTGTATTATTGCTGAGTCACAATCAGGTCTCAGGGATTTTTTTTTTTATTTCTAATATATTAAAATGTAAGCCATGCAATTAATTACTTAGTTAATTTCAAAATAACTTTGAATTTATATGCCTAAGTTAATAAAAAAATTTGTTTTCTTACTCATATGTTTTGAAATACTGTGTTATAATCAGAAATTCAGAAGAATTTCAGTATTGTGTTTCATCATAGTTCCTATTAGTATTCTATTTTAAGAAGCACTATAAAGACAGAAAGGAGTTGAAATTTTAGAACAATGGAAAATTTTTGGTCAGTCAGATAAATCAATATTTACTATTTTTAAAAACTGAAAGTAAAAATAAGGTAGGATACTTCACTTACCTAGATCTCACTGAGAAGTGTTGTATGAAAGCTCATTGTTGCTTTATGAATCAAGTCTCATTGAATTTGAATATAAATCCTCATCTCTAAAACATTAGGGAGTAAAACCATGAAAATCTAAGGGACTACTAATAGATCAGTGTCAATAATTATGTCCCTTACAATGCAAAGTTAAAGTTTTCCATCAAATCCTAAAGGGATTTCCCTGCACTGACATTAGTGTATTTCTGCAGAGTGAATCAGTTCTAGAAACATGTTACCTGTGTGGCCTTAATTGAAGATGCCCTGGTGAGATACTGAGGCTAAAGCAAATGATCTTTATTGAGGTCTGTTTGCTGACCATCTTGATGATTATATGTAACTGACACAATTTTTAAAAGTCTATTCTCCATTCTGTGTGTGAAATATTAAACATGGAGAAAACAATCTTGGGCTGACTTGACCCAAGACTAGAGGAAGTGAAACTAATACTGTTCATAAAAAATGAGTAGTGTCTGGAGAGGAAACAGGAGGTATGATAGGTTCAACTACTGTCATTAGTTCCTTCATTCCCTGAGCTGACTTTGTCCTCAGGTTCTACAATGTCCTCAGTGGAAATTTGATATTAAGTCCCACTTAAGAATTACTGAAATTGCTCTTCTTTCTTTTCTGTTCCTATCAGCTGCCCTCGATGGTTCTTACCCTGCTGTTGTTCCTTCTTCATAGTGCAAATCACTTTCAGATAAACTCTATCTTTTTTTTTCTTAGTATGTATAACTAGTCACTTTTCCTTCATCCCACCATGATCCTATGTGCTTTGCGGGAAGGAATTTCTTTGACATGCTCAAGAACACGACTGTTCATTAATACTTTTCTAATCAAAATAATTTTATGTAATGAAATTCTATGTACTCCCCAGTCTGTCTGTATCTTAGCAACTTGTTTCTCTTCTTCCTCTCCAGGAGCTGGGTCGTGAACATCCCTTCACTGTTTCTTGAGCACTTGCTTCAGTCACTTCGCCGGTAATGTCTCTCTTACCTCTAACAACTTCTCTCTCCTTTTCCATCTTAATTCTATCCATCTTTAAACTCAAATATGACATCTTTAAAGACCTTCCCAATTAGTATATAACATTAATTTGTCCTCTCTGGCTCTACATGACACTTATTTTCCATTAGAACACACTTGTCACTTTTTATGAGTTGAGTATTTCCCTCGATTATGTAAT